CTTAAAATTGTTTTAATTTGCATTTCTTTAATTATTAATAATTTAGAGCATTTTTTCATATGACCATTGATAACTTTGATTTCTTCTTCTGAAAACTGCCTCTTCATATCCTTTGCTAGTTTATCAATTGATGAATGGCTTTTATTTTTTTTAATTGGCTCAGTTCCTTACATATTTGAGAAATTAGGCCTTTATCATAGAAACTTGCTGTCAAAATCTTTTCCCATTTTCCTGCTTTTGTTCTCATTTTGGTTACATTGGTTTTATCTGTATAAAAACTTTTTTTTAATTTCATGTAATCAAAATTATCCTTTTTACTTCCCATGATCCTTTCTCTTTTTGATCGTAAAATCCTCCTTTATCCATAGATCTGATAGGTATTTTTTCCATGCTCCCTATGACATCACTCTTTGTGGCTAAATCATGTACTCATTTTGACATTTATTACTGTGCCAAGTTTCTTCCAGACTACTTTCCAGTTTTCCCAGCAGATTTTGTCAAATAGTGAATTCTTGCCCCCAAAACTTGGCACTTTGGGTTTATCAAACACTAGATTACTGTGGCCATTTATTTCTGTATGTTGTGTACTTAATCTATTCCCCTGATCCTCCACTCTATTTCTTAGCCAATACCAGATTGTTTTGATGAATACTGCTTTGTAATACAGTTTGAAAACTCGTACTGCTAGGCCACCTTACTTCACTTTTTTTTCATTGATTCCCTTGATATTCTTGATCTTTTCCTCTCCCAGATGAATTTTGTTATGATTTTTTTCTAGTATTGATTGGTTTGGCATGACATAAATAAATTAATGTAACTAGAATTGTTACTTTTATTATATTGACTCAGCTTACCCATGAGCAATTAATATTTCTCCAGTTGTTTAGAGATGTCTTTATTTGTGTGAAAAGTATTTGGCAATTGTGTTTATATAGTTCCTAGGTTTGTGTTGGCAGGTGGACTCCCAAGTATTTTGTATTGTCTGCAGTTGTTTTAAATGGAATTTCTCTTTTTTTTTTAATTTCTCTTTCTGTCTCTTCCTACTGGACTTTGTTGGTCATATATAAAAATGCTGATGATTTATGTGGGCTTATTTTATATCCTGCAATTTTGCTAATGTTGTTAATTGTTTCAACTAGCTTTTTTTTTTCAGTTGAATCTCTGGAATTCTTTAAGTATACCATTATATCATCTGCAAAAAGTGATAGTTTGTTTCCTCATTGCCTATTCTAATTTCTTCAGTTTCTTTTTCTTGTCTTATTGTTATAGCTAGCATTTCAAATATGATATTGAATAATAGTGGTGATAATGAACATCTTTGCTTCACCCTGATCTTAATGAGAAGGCTTCTAACTTTACAGATAATGCTTGCTGGTGGTTTTAGTTAGATACTACTTATCATTTTAAGGAAAGCTCCATTTATTCCTATGCTTTCTAGTGTTTTTAATAAGAATGGACCAATTTTAATTTTTAAGGAATTATTTTCTTCAATGAAGTTTTGTGCCTCTTTTTTCCATTTGGCCAATTCTGATTTTTAAGGAGTTATTTTCTTCAGTATTTTTTGTGCCTCTTTTACCAGACAATTCTCTTCTCATAATTTTCATGCATTACTCTCATTTCTTTTCCCAATTTTCCACTATTGCTCTTATTTGATTTTAAAAACCACTTTTGCTCTTTTTTTAATCTCTTCTAGGAATTCTTATTGGGCTTGTGTCAAATCTTCATTTTTATCTGAGGCTTTGCTTATGGATATTTTCATGTCTTTGTCTCCTTCTGCGTTTGTGTCTTGAGCTTCTCTGTCACCATAGTAGCTTATGATGGAAATGTTCTTTTTGTTGTTGTTGGCTCATTTATCTAGCTGATTTCTTGACTTTGAATTTTATGTTAGAGTTGAGCTCTGTTCACCTCAGCAAGGGAGGCAGTGCCACTGTCCCAAGCTTCAGGCTTTTTTTACCCTGATGTTTTCACAACTAGTTCTTAAGGTCTGTAAATTTTCAGTGCTTCTTGGTGGTGTGATCCTAGGAGAATTGTGGTCATTGTACTCATGGTCTGCATTCTGATCCTTATCTAGGAAGGGCCCCTGCTTCCTTGCTACCACAGGCATTAGTGTTCTTCTTTTCCCTAGACTTGTGACCAGGGCCCTTGCTCCCTTGTGACCAACCACACGTGCTCCTCTCTGTCATGAAACTGTGACCCAGAAATGGGTATGGGAAATGGAGTTGCCAAGCACACCTAGTCTTGTGTCCAGTGCCCACACATGGGTCATCCCCTGTAATCTCTTTCTGGCTAATTATCCAATCCCCCTACCTTCTCTGAGTGGTGAAAGCTTCTGAAAGTGTTGCCGCTGCTGTAACCTCCAATGCCCACAGCTGGAGTGGCTGTTTCATATGCTCCAGACCAGCCCCTACCCAAATCTCTCCTTCCAACCTCTTAAGTTGTTTTGGGTTAGAAAAATGTCTTACCCCAACCTTTTGTTGGCTATGTTGCTCCAGAATTCAATTTGACACATGATTTAAAGTTGTTTGCAGGGGAATGTTGGAAGAGTTTGGCTGGAATGCTCCCTCTACTCTTCCATCTTGGCTCTGAATCCAGGCAGGCTTTTTTTTTTTTTTTTTAGTTTTCAGCATTCACTTCCACAAGATCTTGAGTTCCAAATTTTCTCCCCATCTCTCCCCTCCCCCCACCCCAAGACAGTGTGCATTCTGAATACTCTTTTCCCTAATCTGCCCTCCCTTCTATCACTCCCTTTCTCTTATCCCCTTCCCCTTCTATTTTCCTGTAGGGCAGGATGGATTTCTATACCCCATTGCCTGTATATCTCATTTCCCAGTTGCATGTGAAAACAATTTTTAACATTTGTTTTTAAAACTTTGGGTTCCAAATTTTCTCCCTTCCTCCCCACCTACCCTCATTGAAAAGGCAAGCAACTCAATACAGTTATACATGTGTAGTCATGTAAAACACTTCCATAATAGCCGTGTTATGAAAAATTAACTATACTTCCCTTCATCCTATCCCACCCCCCATTTATTCTATTCTCTCCCTTGACCCTGTCTCTCCTCAAAAGTGTTTACTTCTGATTACTCCCTACCAGGCAGACTTTTTGAAGGTCATTTTCTACGGTGGACCAGATTATTATAATTGTACAGCCAACTGAGAGATATTAGAGAATATAAGACTCCACAGCATTAAATGATGGTCAATTTTTAGAAAGCCTTTGAAAAAAACAAACCAGGCATGGTGGCACATGCCTATAATCCCAGCAGCCAGGGAGGCTGAGGATAGTGGAGTGGGTTATGCTTATTGGGTGTCCACACTAATTCGTCATGAATATGGTAAGCCCCCAGGATCTGGGAGGCAAGTAGGGTGGGGGAAGGAAAATCAGATTGCCTAAGGAGGAATTAAATGGCCCAAGTTGGAAACAGAGTAAGTCAGAGCTCCTGCACTGATCAGTCAGTAGTGGGATCACACCCATGAGTAACCTGGACTTCTAGCCTGGGCAATATGTGGAGACCTGGTATTTAAAACAGACACACACACACACACACACACACACACACACTCACACACACACACTCATACAGAGAGAGAGAGAGAGAGAGAGAGAGAGAGCAAAACTTTACATGTACCCAAATAGAGATGAGGTTGAGAGAAGAGATCACAAAGGTACTTAGGGGGAATAAGTTGTTATTGTTAAAAATGTTAATTTTTTTTATCAAAATATAGGTAACATAAGGGAAGTAGAGAAAAAAGGCTGTACAATCAAAAATAAATAATTAGACCTAAACACAGACTTCATCTACTTTGTAAATTTGTCTTATGATTTGAATGGCAAAAAGCAGTGTGCTATCCAAAATTCTTTCATAGCTTTGTAGGTTATTATGTCATTGGTTACTGATAGATACTCTAGGTTACTGATCCACACACTATGCTAATTCACAGCTTTTTGTATATTGTTTGTGATTTTAAGTCCCAGAGCATGGTGGCTAACTCCCAGTCCCTAGACTGGGAGTTAGGAAAATATTATTCTGACTCTGCCGCTAACTTGCTATATGACCTTGAGCAAACACTTTTCCTGACTAGACTTCAGTTTTCTCATCTTATAATATGATGCAATTAGGCTAGGTCATCTCTAGGGCTCCTTCCAAGTCTGGCATTCATGATCATAAGTAGGGCAGAGTGACTGGGGCCCTACCATTTGGTGCCACCATTTGGGGCCCATCCTTCCCCTTCATAGCAGTCTTCCTCCTGCTACACCTGTACCTTGTTGTTTGTCCATTGCCTTGTGTAGCTCCAGGGCAAACATCTTCACGGTTCAATAGCTGTGGTGTTCCATCTCTTCCCCTGTGCCACTGTGACAAGCCACTGTCCATGCCTAATGCCACTTCTATCCCTCAACTGCTTTCTACATTTGGGGATTAGAGGGTCAGTCATCAGCTGCCATAGGTCTGCAGGCCAAACTCCCTCAGGGATGAATCTTTCCCTCTCCTAGCATGACTGTACCCATCCAGGGGAGTCCTAGATTTCTGTGACATTTCTTCTGTGGAGGCTGCCTTTGACATTTCTCCCACTCAAAGAGATGGGGTCTCAATGTTCCCTGACATGGGGCAGCATCTCTACTTTCATAGAGTATTATGTCCAGAGTACATCTTTTTGGCCCAAGGTCTTCCCCACCCCTATATTTTCACTAAGTGTCATTATTCCTAATTACAGGCCTGCTAACATTCTGTGGCTTATGTCCCTAGATGATGTCTGAAGACTAAGCAGATAGTAGTTGTATGACCTTGGAGAATTTACATTCTCTTTCTGAGACTCAATGTCATATGAAGGTTTTGTACTAAAGCATATTCCCTGTCTGACAATCTATGATTCTATGACTTATATGTTCAATTTTGTTTATATTGTTCTCATGTCATGAGATTTGGTTTAGTGCTATGGATATAGAAGGTGTTCAATCAAGGCCAGCTGACTGACATTCTAATGTTGCTCCCCATTCCTAGAGCCTATAGAAGATTTCCTGATACTGAAGGCAAAAGAGGAATCTGACACCTTTGATGAAAACTTTCTTATGGCAATGTCCTTTCAAGACGAGGAGGATCAAACAGTCATCACTACTCTGTTCAATAACCAGGCGTACCATACTGCTCCCATGGCCTTGGCAATGGTGGAAAATATTCTCTACAAGTTTTTTTTTGGCTCCAGGGCCTCCATTACAGTCACCAATGAACCTGAGCTTCCACGTCTCGTTGAGGCTTCTTATATTAGGCTCTTTCAGTATGTGTGACTTCCCTTCTTATGAAGTTAAAACAGTATATCTCTGTAGTACTTCTTCTCTACCTGTTTATTCAGTTTAGATGTTATACTCTTGAAGGCAACCAGAATCAGTAGATAAAGTGATAGAATTGGAGTCAGGAAGACTTGAGTTCAAATCTTGCCTCTACTACTTACTAGCTCATGTCAGTCAACAAGCATTTATTAAGTGCCTACTATGTGCCAGGCACTATGCTAAGCGCTGGGAATACAGAGAAAGGCAAAAGATAGTCCCTGCTCCCAGGGAGCTCACAGTCTAATGGGGAAGACAACATGCAAACAACTACAGACAGAAAAGCTATAGACAGAATAAATTGGACATAACCAATAGAAGGAAGGCACTGGAATTGAAGGGAATTAGGAAGGCCATCCTGTAGAAGGTGCAATTTTAGCTGGAACATGAAAGAAGTAAGGGAAACCAGGAAGCTAAGATGAGGAGGGAAAATGTTCCAGGCAGGGGACAGCAAGTGGAAATGCCCAGAGCTGAGAGATGAAGTGTGAGGAATATCAAGACCAGGGTTACTAGATCACAGAGTACATGGAGAGGAGCAAGTTATAAAAAATAAAAAAGCTGGAAAGGTGGGGGAACAGGTTATGAAGGGCTTTGAATGCCAAAAATAGGATTTTTTTATTTGATCCTGGAGGTGATACAAAGCCATTAGAGTTTATTGAGTAGGGGGTTGACATGATCAGATTTGTACTTGAGGAAGATCAATATACAGTAACAGCAATATACAGTAACAGAATAACTTTGAGTGAATAAGTCATTTTGACTCTTATAAATACTCAAATTAATTACAAAGGACATATGAAGGAAGATCTATCTGCATCCAGATAAAAAGAAGTAAATATAGAATGATTTTATACACACACACACACACACACACACATACATATTTGTGTCTAATGGTAGCCATCCCTGGAGGCGAAGAAGAAAAAAAAAGAAAAATAAGAAATTTACATGATTACTTTATTATATATTTAAAAGGAATAGTAAGTTGTATATAATATAGTTGCAGTTTCATGTGCAATCATCTTTTTTATTATACTATGTTATGGAAATGCTTGTTTTTTTCCATAAATTTAAAATAAATAAAAATTAAAAAAAAATTTTGACAGCTGAAGTGGAGCATGGATTGAAATGGGAAGAGACTTGTGACAGGGAGCCCAACCAGAAGGCTACTGCAGTATAGTCCAGGTGTGAGGTGATGAGGACCCGCACCAGGGTGACTGTGGTATCTAACGAGAGGAAGTGGGGTGGGGGTGGGGGGCACAAAGGAATGATGCTACAAAAGTAGAATTGACAGAACTTGGCAACAATTATGGCAATAAGATAATGGGGATAATGGGAAGAAGAGAGAGTGAGGAGTAGAGGATGACACCTAGGTTGTAAGCTTGGATGACTAGGAAGATGGTGGTGTCCTCAACAATAACAGGAAAATTAGAAAGGACTTGGGCAGGGAAAATAACATAACTATCATGATCTATAGTTAGCTCTTACATATAATGCTGTAGTTTTACAAACCACTTTCCAAATATTTCTCATTTTAACTCTCTCAACTACCCTTTGAGTTAAGTGCTATTATTATCCCCATTTTATAGAGGAGAAAATTAAGGCAGATAGAAGCTAAGCGAGTTGTCCAGCTAGAATCTGAAACTGGATTTAGACTCTGGTCTTCCTGATTCCAGGTCCAGTTTACTATCTGTTGCAACACCTAGTTTAGGGCATGTTGAGTTTAAGACATCTACAGGATATTCAGTTCAAGATGAAAATTTGCAGTTAGAGATGCAAATCTAGAGATTAGGAAAGAGTGTTTGGTTGGATAAGAGTCATCAGCATAAAGATAATAATTGAATCCATGGGAGCTGATGAGATCAAGTGAAATAGTATAGGGTGAGAAGAAGTCCCAGGACAGAGCCCTCGGGGACACTCACACTTAATGGGAGTGACCTGGATAAACATTCAGCCAAGTTAAACTGAGAAGGAACAGTCAGACAGTTAGGAGAACAAGGAAATAAGTAGTGTTGTGAAAATCTAAACAGAAAAGAGTATCAAGGAGAAGAGGATCGTTGACCAGAATTCAAATCTGGCCTCAGATAATTACTAGCTGTTTGACCCTGGACAAGTTATTTAACTTGTTTGCCTCAGTTTCCTCAACTGTAAAATGGGGATCACAATAGCACGTACCTGAAAGAAGTATAAGGATCCAATGAGATAATGTTTGTAAAACGTTTAGCACAGTGCTTGTCACATCATAGATGTTTAATAAATGCTTATTCCCTTCACCCTTCCCTTACCAAAGGTTTCAGAAAGGTCAGGAAGGATTAGGATTAAAGAAAAGATAAATAGATTTGCCAATTAAGATATTTTCTCTTTCAAAGTTTGGTAACTTTGAGGAGCAGTTAAATGAGGATGTCAGACACCAAAGTAGAGAATTAAGAAGAGAGTGAGAGGAAAGCAAGGGAAGACATCAATTGTCTACTGCCTTTTCAAGGAGCTTAGAAACAAGCCCTATGAGATGACAGCTAGTGAGGATGGATGGATCAAGTGAGGGTTTTTGAGAATGGGGGAGAAATGGACTTGTTTATAGACAGAGAAGCAACTATTAGATGAGGAGAGGTTGAAAATAAGTGAGAGGGGAGATGGTGAAGGGGCCAATCTGCTGGAGAAGATGGGATGGAACGGGACTCATGACCACGAACAAACTGTCTGAGCCCTTGGCAACTCCCTAAGACTTACCTACTGAATCACAGAGAGCATAGAGGGGGCTCCCACACGTACAAAAGCCCAGTACCCTGAAGTATTGACTCTTGAAGGCAGTCACTGATAATGGCTGATCTTTTACTGATCTCTTTTCCTTGTGTCCTGTCTCTCACAGGGTCTCCAAGGGACATTTTCTTTCCATTTCCATGGTTTTTGGAATGTCATTCGTAGTCAGTTCATTTGCCATTCTGGCAATCAGTGATCGAGTCTTAAGGTCAAAACATATCCAGTTTATCAGTGGAATCTCTCCAGTTCATTACTGGCTCTCTTTCCTGTTGTGGGATTTAATCACCGTCTTCCTTAACAGCTTGCTACTATTGGTAAGTGTTAGATAGTGTATATATTGAGGTCCATTCTACTGCATATCATAGAAACTTCCCTTCTGGACAACACTGCCCAGCACCTGAATCTAGCCAGGAAAGTCAAGTTGTCTACTTTAGCCCCTGCCAACTGGGAAGCACAATTTAGAAGTTTCTAGATCCCCTGCCCTCAGTTGAAGAATGTTAGTTTCCCTGGGATTTACAGAAACATTGATGACCCTCTTTAGGCTGAGCTCCCTATGTATTTGTCCCCTAAAATCTTGCCCCAAAAATTTGGGGACTTGATGTCACTGGGGATAGCTGCATTGATTAAAAAATGGGAAACTATTCCAACTAGGAAAAAAAGCAAAGACAGTACAAGAATGCTGTCCACTGGGGACTCCTTGGCTGCTGAGGAAATGAGGTTGTTTCTCACCTTCACTGTGAAGTGCCAAGATTTTTACAAAGAGCTGGATTGAACTGATTGCTAGGGAGTTGCAAAGCTTGGTTTTTAGAGTAGGGACTAGTGCATTCCCCTAGGGTGTTCAAAATTGATTTCTTAATACTTTATTAATTCTTTTTTCCCTTCCTTCCTTCCCTTTGAAACTCTGTCTATACCCAAGTGCTTGATGAAGGTCATAGATGAAAAAGCTTACATCCAAAGCAGACACCCTGAAGCTGTCGTACTGACGCTCTTGCTGTATGGCTGGTCTGTCATCCCGTGCATGTACCTGATGAGCTTCTTCTTCTCTGGTCCTGCTTCTGGGTGTGCCAAACTCATGATTCTGAACGTCATTACAGGCATCGTTCCATTCGTCATTTTCACCATCACAGGGCGACATGGTAAGGACATTCCACCAACATATACTAAGCCATTCTGGTGAGTCGGGAAGTGGGGAGAGGGAAGGCCTGTTTGTGGGCTGGTTAGGACCAGGAAGTGAATGGGTAGGAATGGACTCAAGGATAGGGATATCACTTAGAATTGAACAAGAACTGCCAGTCCTGGATGAAGACAATTGACTATTTGATTAATTCCTCTTTGACACTCAACATAAAATGCCATTTGTCTATTTAAATCCCCAAACCACCTACTAATCAATCAATAAATATTTATTAAGTGCCTACTATGTGTCAGGCACTGTAATAAGAACTGGAGATACAAAAAAAAAAAAAGGCAAAAGACAGTCTCTGCCCTCAAAGAATTTGTAATCTAACAGGGGAGACAACATGCAAACAGTTACTTAAAAACAAGCTGTGTACAAGATAAATAGGACATAATTAAAAAGGGAAGGCATTAGAATTAAGAGGGGCTTGGAAAAGATACCAGTAGAATATAAGATTTTAATTGGGACTTAAAGGAAGCCAGGGAATTCAGGAGGCAGAGATGAGGAGACAGCATGTTCCGGGTATGAAGTACAACCAGAACCAAGAGATGGAGTCTCTTGTTCATGGAACAGCAATGAGGCCAATGTCACTGGATTAAAGAGTACCTGTTGGGGAGTAAGGTCTAAGAAGACTGGAAAGGTAGGAGGAAGTTAGATTATGAAGGGCTTTGAATGTCAAGCAGAGCATTTTGTGTTTGATGCTGGAGGTGATGGGAGGCCACTGGAGTTTATTGAGCAGGGGGATAACATGATCAGGTATCCACTTTAGTGGCTGATAGAGAATGGATTGGAGCAGAGTGAGACTTGAGGCAGGCAGACCCACTAGCAGTATATTATAGTGGTCTAGGTATGAGGTGGTGAGGACCTGCACCAGAGTGGTGGCAGTGTCGGAGGAGAGAAGGGGGTGTGTGAAAGATAGTGAGGAATTCAGGATGGCTCCTAGGCACCAAATAATTATAAATTCAAGTAATAACGGAAAACTGCCAGATGGGTTTAAAGTCATGTGGATACAATAAGAAACCTTAAGGGAAACTAGGGTAAAATAATAGAGTGTGCAAGCATAAGACATGGAGAGAGAATTCCTGGCTTCAAGCTTTCAAGGAGAGAGAGCAAGCTATATTTCTTTTTTATCTTTTTTTTTTTTGGTGAGGCAATCGGGGTTAAGTGACTTGCCCAGGGTCACACAGCTAGGACGTGTGAAGTGTTTGGTCTGAGGCCGGATTTGAATTCAGGTCCTCCTGACTTTAGAGCCCGTGCTCTATCCACTGCGCCACCTCGCTGCCCCTCGAGCTGTACTTCACCACAGCCACAGTTCACATGCCAGTAAAAGATCTGATTATATGGTATCCAACCCCCACCTTACTCTTTCTTTAATTTATAGCTACTATGACCTTGAGAGTAAAGACAGTACTCCCAGACTTCAACTAATATTGCCTGGCTTGCTCTCTTCCCGCTCACCCTTTAGTGATCTCATCCAGTCGCTTACCTTCAGCTGTCACCTCTCAGTGGATGACTCCCAAATCTGCATTTTTAGCACTAACCTTTTTATTGAGGTCCATGCTCGTCAGCCAGTCAACAAGCATTTGATAAGAGTTTTCTATGTGCCAAGCATGAAGGATTCACAGAGCAGCAAAAAACAGTACTTGCTCTTAAGGAGCTCACATTTTAATGGAGACAGGAAGACTCCCCTGAGTTCAAATTCAACCTCAGACACTTACTAGCTGTGTGGCCTTGGGCAAGTCATCTTACCTCTCTTTGCTTCAGTTTCCTCAACTGTAAAATGGGGATCATAATAGCATCTACCTTCCAGTGTTGCGAGGATAAAGTAAAATAACATTTGTAAAGCATTTAGCACAGCACCTGATATGCGCTAGACACTAAATAAGTGCTAGCTGTCGTCATCATCATCATCATCATTATTATGAATGGAAGAGACAATATGTAAATGATTAGGTCCGTGCAAGATAACATGCATGTGTGTATATTTGTTATATATGTATGTATATGTGTTTTTATGTACGTACACACACAAACACACATACAGAGTTTATGAAGGCAATCCCAGAAAGGAAGACACTTTAATTTCATACTTTGCCTACTGGACATCTCCATGTGCCTAGCCTGCATCATCTCCACTGTAATGCATCCAAAACCAAATTCACCATCTTCCCTCTAAACGCTTCCTTATTTCTGTCCTTAACCTATTCCCGATTACCCAGGCTAAAAAACTCAGTCACCTTAGACTCCTCCCATTCCTTGAGCTTGTGCTTAGCTAGGGGCAAGGATCATGTTTTCTTTCTCTTTTAATCCCACCCACCCCCCAGCATCTAGTACAGTGCCACAAATTTAGTAAGCGCTTAGGCAATGTTTGTTGAGTAAGTGTTAAAGGATACTCCTCTCCCCTACTCCAGCACTGTATTAGAGTCTCCAGCTAAGGTAATAATACTCAAAGACATGTACATAGGGAAAAATAATTACTGAGTATTGGTGCAGGCAGTAGGAGTACAGAGAGAAGTGAAAACTTTTAGCATGAGCTGCTTGAGGGTATGGTGAGATTTGTTCTGGGACTCAAAGAATGAATAAAATTTTGATAGGCAGTAAGGAGAGGGGAAATATTTCGAAGTAGCATCAAGATAGTTTCTTTATGGGGCAGCTAGGTGGTACAGCAGATAGAGCACCAACCCTGAAATCAGGAGTACCTGAGTTCAAATCCAGCCTCAGACCAAATACTTGACACTTACTAGCTGTGTGACCCTGGGCAAGTCACTTTACCCCAATTACCTAAAAAAAAACAAAAAACAAAAACAAAAACTTTCCTTATAGAGGAATAGAGTACAAGAGGTCAGATCTGTTTTGCCCTAAGTATGCCCGTTGTAAGGTAGCTTACCCTCTGAGAGAATACTGGGTTACTGAAGAAAGAGGGGCCCATGCCAGCTTGGCTTTTAATACTTTGAGTTTATTAGGGTTAATTGGGGGAGCTTACTCACATCCTGAGTGACAGCAAGACAAAGTAACATGGTGGATCCCCACACCTGCCCCAAGCCAGGTATTATATAGAAACAGAACAAAGAAGGCATAGTGCCAGGGATGGCCCAGGGTCATGGACAAGTTCTCCCACGGGATGGTTGGAGCTTCCTTTGCTGTTTACAGCTACTCAATGTAGTTTACATTCTTTGTGGAGTCATAAGTCACATTCCCAGGCTCTGACTACTTACTCCTATACATAGGGATAACTTGAAAAGAGACCTAAGAGATGGGTTGTGGTTAGTGTGAGCAAGTTGTTGATGTGATTGATGCAGAGAGTGCTGGAGGGATGTTATCATTGTTTCTTCATGGATCTGTTTGTCGGTGTGATGTTACTATGGAATTTAAATCACTGTGGAAGAAAGGGAACTAGTACAGATCTTGGCATTGTGGGTGTGTGAAATCGGCTGCACCAGTTGTCAGCATTTTTGTCAGTATGGTACCTAGGGGGTTTGTGTCAAAGAGGGAGAGTGTGGTCAGTGGAGAACCTGGAGGGTTGCAAGTTCTAGATTTGGACAATTAAATCTTATTGAACAAGAAGGTGAGAATGTGAGCACAAGATGATCCCTGAGTAACATAAGAGGCATTCATCTCCAGATACAGATACCTGGATAGCTTGGAAACATGGAGAGATAGAGAAAAAGTTAGGCTAATATGGATCTTCGTGGTATTGGGACCCCCAGAGTAGGACATATGAGCTCTATGTGAGCATAAGTTGAATTTGGATCAAGACAGACAATTGAAGCTTAATTCCCGTGGCATATATTAGCATGGTATAGATTGTACATATGTAATTGACAGTTCTGATTCTCTGTAGTCCCTTCAGAGTGGAGAGAGTAGGAGTGGGGTGTAGGACAGATAATGGAATGAGAGTGATTAAATTTGAGTGTTTGTGAGGGAGTGTGCACACCCCTGGGCTCTTCCATGGATGTAACAAAATGGTTTGTGTAAGGGAATGGTGGGAGATAAGGTTGGAGGTCTTTGGAGGTTAGACTGAGAAGTTAAGATTTTTTCCTTTAAGATATCGAAATCCATTAAAGATTTTGAGACAGGAGAATGATGTGATGGAAGTAATGTTTTAATCCTAGAGATTAATTGACAGTGTGGTGTAATATAGAGTTAGCCTCAGGGTCAGGAAGAACTGAGTTCAGTTATTAACATTATTAAGTACCAAGAAGACAAGCATTTATTAAGTACCTACTAAGTTGCAGACGATGTGCTAAGTGTTTAACAAATATTATATCATTTGATCTTCACAACAACCCTGGGAGGTAGTTTTACAATAGAAGAAACTGAGGCAGACAGAGGTAAAGTTGCTTGCCCAAGGTCACACAGCTAGTAAGGCCAGATTTGAACTTAGGTCCTCCTGACTCCAGGCAGCAATGTGGCAAAGTGGATAGAGTATCAGGGTTGAAGTCAGGAAGATTCATCTTCGTAAGTTTGACCTCAGACACTTACTAGCTGTGTGACCTTAGGCAAGTCACTTAACCCTGTTTGCCTCGGTTTCCTCATTTGTAAAATGATCTGGAGAAGGAAATGGCAAACCAAAAGGCATCTTTGCCAAGAAAATCCCAAATGGGATCATGACGAGATGGACGTGACTGAAAATTACTGACCATACTTCCTGACTCCAGGCCCAGTAGTCTGTCTACTCACTTCACCCCCTAGTTTCCCTCTAAGACTTCTCATCAAGAATTTCCTGTACCAGTGAAGTTAGAGGTATGGACTAAAAAACACCTTCAGGGTACATTGTATGAGGGAGGGCCTCAGATGTGAGGAAATGAAGGAACAGGGGACAGTGGAGGTGGGGGGGAGTGGTATAGGTGCTAAGAGATAGAAAGGGGTGCTGCACATGAAAAGATATTAGGGGTACTGCACATGAAAAATTAAAAGGAACTGATGCATAATTGGAAAAGGAGATGATGGGGAAGAGATTAGAGAATCAAAGATGACTCAAAGGGTTCCTTGTAGACCAGGGTGAGGAACCTGTGGCCTCGAGGCCGTATGTGGTTCTCTAGTCCTCAAATGTGGCCCTTTGACTGACTCCAGACTCAAACTTGAAGTTTGGATTCAGTCAAAGGGCTGAACTTGAGGACCTAGAGGGCTACATGTGGCCTAAAGACTGCAGATTCCCCACCCCTGTTCTGGACCCTGGGAAGGTAAGAGTACCATGGATGGAAAAGGGGAAGAAGTCACAGGGGGAAGCTAGCTAGGGGAAGATGAGGAATAAACATTATTGATTAATCTTTTTTCTTTCTTATCACATAACTAGACTTTCAAAAGCTTAGCAACAAGTTGGATGTTTTATTCCAGTTACTACCAAATTATGACCTATCAATGGCTTTCTCCAATTTGTATTATAACTATGAAATCAAACGGTTCTGTAAAGTTTTGGAAATTCCCAAGGAGAATTGCAAAACAATTAGTGAGTATCTGCCTACCGCCCACCTCTCCTCAGTCCCTGGAAACAATCCTTTCTCTGTTTTTCCATCATTGGGAGCAGAGGGTGCAGGGGTGGGTGGATGAATGGAACTCTCCTCTGCCCCAAAGGAAAAGAGCTTGAGTGTCATCAGGGGCTACTGTCACTTCCTAAGTCATACCCCATAACAGAGGAGAGTTCTTGGAAAGTTCTTGGAAAAGACTCAAAGTAAAAAAGCAAGGCAACTAACTGACTGATGGCTTGTAGACTGAGACTTCTAAGAAGTAAGGAGTAGAATCCTTTCTAGAAGGATCTCATTGACCTTTCAGAGTCCGTAGGGCAGCACAGAGTTCTCTGGAGCAGTAATGCCTCAACAATGCCCTCAACACCTGAAAAAGTCAATGAGGGCAGAACCCAACTCTTGCTGTGAACCTCTTAGAAGACTAAGAGGAAGAGGAAAGGATAGGAATATTCCTAGGCCTTTGCTTGTGGGGTTGCCTGGGCAGGAGCTGTGTGGTGTGCTGAGCCTACTCTGGAATGACTGGGAAACCCTCCTTTGCAATATCCCCAGGTTCTAGTTTGTGTAAATATTGACAGTGATGTTAGTATTATGAGGTTCAGGCCTAGAGCTTTAAGATTCCTGCAAACAGTAAAGCAGAAGGTCAGGAGGGTAATGATGTGAAAGAAGTCATTAGCTATGGCAGGCTTGGGACCCATCTAGAAATATCTATCTCTTCCCTGTACCCTCCACAGGATGGTCACATTGTGTCTACTGCACAATAATGTTACATGGCAGATCCAGAGGTAGATTAGCCAGTCTTGGAGGGGAGAGGACCAGCCTGCTTAGGTCCATCAAATATTCAGTTTGCTTTTCTAGGGAGATTGGTGAGTTGCAAGGAGTGAGTACATAAGTCATTACAACAAAGTCTACAAAACATCTAAATTTCATTGCTGTGTAATTCTGTTATAATTAGTATGTTGCTTGACATTATTTTCCCACCCTACCAGAGCTGGAGAACAAATCAAGCTAATGTCCAACCCCTTTCTAGTAAATCGGAAGGTGAAAAGCAGGCATTTGCACTTGTTTGTATGTGTAGTGAATCAATCAAATTACCTCTACCTCACTTAAAGTTAGTGATAAAATGTTATACACTCATACCTTAACCAGGTGAGAACAGGCCTCAATCAATCACAGGCTTTAGACTAAATGAGATCCTTGATCAAATGGAATTTCATCAGAAGAACCTTCTGATTGGCTGGGGGTACTTGGCAATGTCTTTTGTATAAAATGTATAAAATGAGGAAGCTAGTTTGGGAGCTGAGAGATTCAAACAAGCAAAAAGCTAATATTGCAGCTAAACTGATGAAAAGGAATTAATTTGGGGGATGGGGAACTAGTAGAACCCTAAGCCTCAGTCTCAGTCTTGGTCTCCCCCAAGAAGACCTCATAAACTTCAGAGGCTGAGAAGATTGTAGATTTCTCATCTTCCCATCAATAGCCTAACAACATCCTAACAACGCAATGCAGTGGCCTGTGTCTGCATCAGGAGCTAAGAATAGCCTGGATATGATTCGAAAAGGCAGATTCACAGCTCTGTAAGGAGCCCATCCAAGAAGCTATACCATGGCTAAGGAGAACTTCTTGAGCAGCCCACAAGGGGAGAAAAAAAGCTACAACAACAACGAGGAACTATGACTGTTCCCCCGCCCCCAACCTTGTCATATGGATTTTCTCATCTCGAGGCTACTTTCCCCTAGATTCTCTGGCCCCAGTGAGAGAATGAGTCACAGACTTTCAGGGGGACGCTTTACAATAGCTGTATTAGTATACCAGCGTAGTGAAAGCTCCTTTCTAAAAGCTAATTGTCTGACTAATTAGGAATCAACTAATAATATTGGGGAAAACATGACAGAATGAGGTCTCAAGCCAACAGCATCAGAAAGATATCCCTAAACCCGGGGTACCCTAGAACCCTCAGGAGAAGATATAACTAATCTTGCTCTGGAAACCCTACTTGCCAGAGAGAATGGGAATTGGTATAAGGATTTCATGGTCTATCGCCAGCCTTGTGTGTATTGGCATGAGGAACTCTCCCAAACCCCAGAGTCAGTGTGCGTTATATATGGGGGACTTCTCAGGGATCAATATTGATACCTTTGAATTCCTCAAGAGATTCTTTACTTGGGACTTTGGTTATTGGATTCCCTAATTTAGGTTCCAGTTGAGGAAAATTTAACAATTTTTTTCTCTCTTTTTAGACTATAATTACAGTTTTCCCAGCTTGTTTCCTTAAAAGTCAGCTCTTTTGAAACAACCTTTGCTTATTTGAATGCTTATGTGCTGATATCTGTTGCATTACTTTAACTCTGTATGATTACTGCATCTAATATCAGAAGCATAGAATTTGCAGGCCCAAGGTGCCGATAAATATTTATATTTTGTTGTTTTTAAATAGGATTGCCTTAGTGACATCTTTAAGGACTTCAGATCCATAGGAGCCAGTTTTGCCTACTAGTCTTAAATCCTGAGTAATCGGCCCTATGTGCTTGATCTCTCGCGCGTCTTGTTCTTGTTTGGAGCTTAACTGATTCTGTTTTCTTTCGTTTCTGAGATCACTTACTATTGGTCAAGTTTGGAATTCTGTTTGGGTTGTCCTTATCGTGTCAGTGATTCACTTGGAAATTAAATATTCTTTTGCAGAGGGACTCGATACATTTTCCTGGAACTACACGAGGATCACCTCTAGGCTAGAGACCCTTGGAGATATTTTGGATTCCCTATGTGTTTCAGAGATCCCTGGAGAAAATTTGGGTTGTCCTGTGTCATTGCAGAGATGGAGAGGAATTTGACAACATTAAACCCACTCCTGAGTGTGGGTCCAGAGTAGGATGTGAGGGAGTCTTAGTGGAGCACCCCTGGGACCCAGAGCCATTTTGTAAGAACTAAGCCACCTTGGTTTGGTTTCTTAATCTGAGGGTAAGGGGGTGGCTTCTAGTCAACTCCAGGTCCCTGCTGCCTTTGGGGAGAGGCCTAGGTGCTCTCCTTCTGAGACAGGAAATGTAATTCTCTTTTCCTTTTTAAATTGGTCAGTGATTAAACCCAGCCTGTATGTGGGGGTCCCGAGGAGAGGGACCTTTTTGTGGGAAAGGGATAAGGTGAGAGTTTCAGTATAGCATTTGGTATCCTAATGAGCCCTAAATAGAGGGGGCCCTCCATGGGAAAAGGGGAAGGGGAGAATCCCAGCCCTCCGCCATCATCCAATGGACGAGTGTGGCTACACAGGCACCAAGCCACACCTGCAGGGTGAGGGGGTAAACTTCCAGCTGACCCTGGTTCCCTTAATGCCTGTGGGAAGAGCCTCACATGCTCAGGGGATTCTGGAAGGAACTTGGACTTCCCCCTGAGAAGGGAAACTTGGACTCCTTATCCTTTTCCCTCTCCTTTTTTTATTGTTTTGGGTCGGGGAAGGCCTTTACAAACAACAAGATAGGTATTAACCTATTAGAACTTTGTGAAATGATATTTGTCTGTTAAATTGTGTCACCATTTATTTGGAAGGCTGGGAAAATGTTAATGACCAGATTTGATTAGGAACTATGTGCCGCCAAGGCTTCTCTTGGGGCTCTAGTATGAGGCACTAAGGAAGGCACTCAGATAGGGCATGCAGAACCTCGCCAAGGGACTAAAGCACTATTGAGGACTGAAGTCTAGGAATGTCACCAAACACATTCAGGTCATTTTGCTGAGTATGGCAAATATAGCATTAAAATTGGAAAAGACAGAATGTGAAGATAGAGATTGGCTGATTGAACCCATTGAGTCACTCCACCCCACCCGACCCCACTTAAAGTAAGTGATAAAATGCTATACCCTGATAGATAGATGTTAGATAGATGAGGGCTTTCAATTGTCGATCACTCATTCATGGGCTTTAGACTGAGTGTAAGTCCTTGACCTGGAGTGACATTGCACAGGAAGAGTGTTTGGACTGACTGCAGAACCTTGGGCATGCCCTGTAGGGCCTATCTAAAAAAAGATAGGAGAGGTGAGAGTGTGCCAGCTAAACCCCTGAGAAGGAACTGACTGGGGCTTGGGAGGGAGGAGCAGAGCCCCAGGCTTTGGAACTGGTCTGGAGGACACTTCATCTTCCCATCAGCATCCTATCAGCATCCCCCAGAGCCTCTGGCAGCAGTGTCCCCAGGATCTGCTTAGGAACCAGCCATCGACTGGGCCCAGATTCAAGGCTTTACAAAGAGCCCAGCAGAAAAGCTCCACCATACCTAAAGGGAACATCTTGAGGAGTCCAGCAAAAGGATTTCCAGAGGTTATGAGTTCCTCCTATGCCACATGCCCTCTGTTGTTTGAGCTCAATTTCCATAGGACTCTTTATGTCCTGTTGAAAGAGTATGTCACAAACTCTGAGGGAGATGATACTTGTGCTTAACTATGCCAATTATACCATAGTAGCAAATGCCCCTTTCTAAAGGTTAATTAAGTCTGACTAATTGATAATCAACCCATAATCATTAAAGAAAGAACTTTGGTAGGCAATCATGAACTCCAGAATTAAAAACACCCCCTAGTCCCTCAGGAGTAGTACCTGAGAACCCTGAAGGGACATAGTAACCATACTCTGGAGATCCAGTTCATCTGTAGAAGTGAGAGTTGGTATAGTTGACTCAGAGCATAGTTATTTGCTACAGATGATTTAAGAATTTAAATGGGTGAGTGGCTTTTTCTGGGGTGATTTGTATGTATAATTGGGGAAGGAAGTCCAAGGATAATTGCTTGATGAAAGAACAAAAAGGTTTGGAAAAACTCAGCTACAATTTGTTATCTCCACATTCAAGGATTTGGAAGTACTTCGGGTGTAGAATATGACTGTTATATGGAAAGACCAGAGAGCCTTCTGTTGAACTTTAGGATTTTCTAAATACTTTCTATAGAGGGAATTTGTTTTAACCAGATCAATACTGTCAGACTGGCCCATCTGCCAAGATATGGAAATAACACTTTAAAAGTACTTCTTTTTAATAATATATGCTAAAATGAGATTTTACCTGTACTTTTCTGAAGATAGTAAGTTTAAAAAAAATGGTAAAACCAAGATTTCAATGAAGTGTCAATGACTCACTTTAGGCCATGGTTTTATAAATCAAGAGAATATCTACGCATGGCAGTCTCTTGGGATTGGAAAGTATTTGACCTGCATGGCTATATCTGGCCTTGTTTTTCTCCTGTTGCTTTTCTTCATTGAGACCAACTTCTTCTGGAAACTGAAAATCTCTTTCCGTAAGATCTTTGAGAGAGAGAAATTGGTGAGTGGCTCAGTATGAAACTTAAGTCAACTATATGAGGTTTTTGACCAGCTAAAGGGGCTGATTTCACATTCTTTTTCATGAAAGGAATGAACCTGGATGACTGCATTCCTGATGAGACCCATTTGAAGTATATCCCCCACCATAAGTTGGTCTCCAGAGTTTATCTCCCACCTTCATGCATTTGCACAAGCTCTCTCTCACATGCCTGAAACTCCCTCCTCACCTTCAAGACTCAATTCAGATGCTGCTTCCTCTATGATTCCTTTCCTAATTCTCTCAACCCCACCTGTTAGAGCACTCTCTCTCTCTCCTCAAATTATCTTATATTTATTTGTGTGTGCACATTAGTACTCCCCAAGTAGAATATAAGGTTTTTGAAGACCATTTCATTTTTGCCTTTATATCTCCAGCATCAGGTCTCCTTTGCTGATTGCTCTTCCTCTCCTGCCTGCTAAATGAGAATGTGATCCCAGGCTCTGTCCTAAACCATGTTGTTTTCCATATATTCTGTAGGATTTTTATCTCCTCTCCTAAGTCCAAATATCACCTCTTTGTGAGTGATATTCCCATTCATATCTGTATCTCTAGTTCTGACCTCTATTTCCCATTTCCAGCTGCCTACCAAACATCTCCACCAAATGAACTGGCAGCACCTCAAATTCAAAACATCTAAAACAGAGCACACCATCTTCTCCCACCAAACCTACCCTTTTTTATAACTTCTGAATTTATGCTTCTGATGCTTCCATTCTTGTAGTCACCCAAGGTCCATACCTCAGAGTTATATTTGACTCTTCCTTCTTCCTTGGTACACCGTGTCCTATTGTTTCAATATGTGATATATGGGCCAGCCGAACCCCAGCCCCTGGCACAATTGGACACAATTTGGGAGGGGTCATCACAACAATCTCTTTACCTCATCCACCCACCCAGGGAATACCTTGGGAACATCAGTATCTGGTCTGTTCTCTATAATAAAATCTCTCTGGTTCATGGTCCCATCCAGGAAAACTCTGGAAGAATGATTATCTGGCTCATTTTGCTCTCCTGGAAAACATTCTCAAACCCTCTGCAACATTCAAGCTAACAAGACAGACAACCAAAAATGCAGAATGACTCATATCCTAACCTAAGACAGACAAGAACATTCTCCTGCTTCCACAAGGGACCTATATGGTCTGCTGCTTAGCCTTGATAGGGAGCCAATCAATTCTTCCATCTCAGTAGGCCCTATCTTCCCATCAGGAGAGAACTCAAGGTCACTAGAGATTTTACCCTTCCCCTCAGACCTTCACAATCTATACAACTCACAGTACCAGTGAGAAGAAAGATTCCAGCCTCTCTCCCTATCTGACTCACCAGTGGCTTCCGAGCCTGCAGGATGTACTTTTGTCCTGTTTCACTGTCATCAGCTGCTCAGTGCATATGGTTCCCCATAGACAACATATGGATCCCTACAGGTTGGCATCCCTTTCATTATTGTCCACCTGTTCTTCCCTCTTGAAACTGGAAGCAGAGCCCTTCTAACCTGTGTGCCTCAAGAATTGCCCATAAATTAGGGGGAGGGACATAGCTCCATGCTCACTGTGTAGAATGACCTATCTTTATGGTGCTTTACAGTTTACAAAGTGATCTCCTTACAACAACCCTCTGAGGTAGTTAGTTGGTGCCAATGTTGTTATTATCATTTCACATATAATAAAACTGAGACTAAGAGAAATTAGGTGACTTGCCCACAGTTATATGGCTAGCAAGTGACCAGAGCTTATAATTCTAGCTCTGTAAGAAAGACCCTAAAACATCATTTCTACCTCCCTCATCTATTATCTCTTTTCCCTTTTTACTCCTACCACTGGAAGCCAAGCTTGGGCTCTTATCCCTTCTCACCTGGACGCTCCTAATCTATGTAAGCTCACTGGTGTGCCAGGCTCCAGCCTCTCATCCTTAGCTCTATCCTTCCTATTGTTGCCAAATAAAAATATGAATACCTTAGTCTAGCACCTGAAGCCCTCTGCAATCTCTACCTTTTGAATTCTTTTCCTTCCTTCAAGGGCCACCTCCTTCGTGATGCCTGCCTACCGTGATGCCCACAGCCTAAACTGATCCCTCTTTCTTCAAATCTTGCATACTGCTCAGTTTGAACTCTTAATCATATTATAACTTCTATTCTGGTTATTTTCAGAGATACTTCATTCTCTCTTCTAAATTCCTCCAGGGCAGAGACTGTATGGTTTTCCGTATTTGTGTTCTTGAGCCCCATCACAAGGCTTGCTACATAGGAGGCACTTAATAAGTGGATGCTACTACTATTGGGATCTCAGATGCCGTTGTTCCTCATGGCCCTGTTTGAAAAACAAGCTGTAGCCTCAAGGTCTGCAGTGTGGGACAGGAGAAGTCTGGTTCTCTTGGCATGTGTTTTCCAAGAAAAGTAAATGTGATTCTGGCATATCAGAGGCATGAGGTTCTGTGGAAGCAGTCACTCAGCTCACTGGCAGGAGAAAAGGGAAATCAGAAAACCCTTTACCCTTGTCCTTCTAGGAGCTGTGATCAATGCTAGGCTCTGGCATTCTCTCTCTCAGATTGAATGTTCACAGTGTGAGTGGTAGAATAACACTGGAATTCACAAAAATCATGGATTTATCATATATTTCCCACTGTCATCCACAAGACAGACAGGACAGGTGCTTGTTCTTTCTGTTATGGATGTCTGTCCTCCTGAGGGCAAATGCCCTAAGGGAATAGTTAAGAAAATTATACCTTTCTACACCCTGCTGCTTGATACTCTGAGACCTCAGATTGGCTTTCTTTTCCTAAAAGTGCACTACTGTATTCCTGACCAAAAATGCATCAGGCTGCATGGAATGCCACATGAAGTTTCTATTTCCAGGATGTATTGATCACATTTGAGCTAAGTTTCCAATGTCCCTGGTTTCCTTGGGAAGGCAGGAGTCAGCTTAATTGAGAGGTGGACAATGCTCCAAAAGTCCAAAAGTAGCCAAGAGCTGCTTGCTTGACATCTCTAAGGACTCAGCACATCTATTGTGCCCCCTCGTCTCCTGCCTCTTAGCCACCTCTCCCAACCCTATCTCCAGATAGCCAAATGTCTGAAAGGTATTCATGTCTGTGATTCATCTCTCTGAAATAGTCACAGGTACATAGCGTGCCATCTTTGATTTTCAAAGACGATGATGTGGAAGATGAGAGAGAGAAAATCCTGAATTCACTTCCAAAGTTATTGCAGGACACCCCTCTAATCACTAAAGAACTCACAAAGGTAAAGCCAAATGAAAGTCAGGGCTCTCCTGGGACTTCCCCATTGGAGGCATATCAAATATGTACCTGATTGAGGGTGGCTGGTCTCTGAGATCCATAAGGTTGGGGAAAAGTAGCTTGAGCAGAGGGGTAGAGCTCTTCTGCTGCTACCCAGGAGGTGTGGTGTCGGCTCTTACGTGAGGATCGATACCCTGTTTTTTGCAATTCATAGGAAGTCTGTGGGTTTTCTTTTGGGGCTTCTTAGGTGTATGGCCATAGGAAGACACCTATCCTCACTGTGAACAGGATCTCCTTCACAGTCCAGAAAAAAGAATGTTTTGGGCTGCTGGGCTTCAATGGAGCTGGGAAAACCTCCACCTTCAAAATGCTGACTGGGGAAAACATCATCACATCTGGAGATGCCTTTATCAATGGAAAAAGCATCTTCAGTAACCTCAAAACGGTAAGGTCTTCCCCAGAGGCAGGGGAACACACTTCCCTGAAAAATGGAAAGGATGACAGTCAATGAGGAGAAGCAATGGGAACTGTAACAAAGAGAATGGATCCTCAAAAGGTGAAAGACACCGAGACTGCTGCTAAGCTGGTGATGGAAATCTGGGGAAAAGGGGTAGAAAATTAAAACAGTCTTGCCCCGAAAGTATGAGCACAGGGTGTTTCCTGTAGCCTTCTGGAGTGTGAAAGCAAGAGTCAGAGTGCCCCAGGCTAGGTTCCTTATAAAGGGTTTGGCATAACTAAAGGAACTGAATCTGGTTCTGTTTTGGGGGAATTGGGATGGAGGAACTTCGCAGTTGTCTACAGGACTTCCTTTCACAGTTATTTGTTGTATTCCCAAGCCCACAGTTCGTTCAGTCTCTTAGTTGGGGCCCTGGAATCCAATAGTCGTGGTCCCCATCATATGCTAAAGAGAGATGGACAAATCAATGTGTGTTACCAGATGGAGTTTCTAAGGTATGGACAATTCAATTCCATTCTGTTTGGCAAATATTTATTAGGTGACTAGCACAAATGAATAAATTACAGAATAAAACATTTTATCGAATGCAATGTGCAAACCATTGAGGATACAAACAGAAAAGCAAGACAGTCCCTGCTCTCAAGGAGCTCACGTTCTAGTGGGGATGACAACCTCTAGGGAAGGTTTCAGCTACAAGTCAGATGGAAAGGCCTGGTGATCCCATGGGTGCTACCACCCTAAGGAGTGCAATTGCAAAGCAGATGTTGATGCCTCTTCTTGGATATCATTTCCACTAATAAAATCGTGTCAATTTCTGATGTTGAAAGATTTTACAGTACCAAGGACTTCAATGGTAAGAACTTGAGACTTTGCATAAGCAGTTTCCAGGCTACATCTCCAAAGGGGTTGCATCCCAGGATGATGGCCAAGGGCACTGGGATAGAATCATTGCTATTGCAAAGGCCCTTGGGCGGAGGGCCCTGAGCTGTTTCCATCAGGGTCTGAGAGGAAATAGTAGTCAAAATAGTGATGATGGTTTGACTTACCGGGCACATGTTGCCTCCTGTCTCTTCCATGTGCAAGTGTGTATATTTCATGTTAGATATCACTATACATATAAGCCAAAAATACAAAAGTGAAATGATAGTCTCTACCTTTAGAGAGTTTATAGTATAATAAGAAAGATTTACACAAATAGCAATATCATTTGGGATATAAATACAAAGAAGAGGTCCAAACAAAGTAGTGAAAGAATCAAAAGATCACTTCCAACTAAAAGAATTGGGGACAAGTTCTTGGAAGTACTCCCTGAGCTTGTCCTTGAGGGAAGGGAGGGATGGCAGTATGTGAGGATGAGAGGGATAGCCATTCTACTCTTGGAAAAATAGCATGAGCAGAGTGACAGAGATGGGGAGAGAAAGGGACAAGAAAGATCTAGTTTGGCTGAAAAAATAGCGAGGGCAGAAATACCAGCTAGGAAACTGTCATAACAATCAAGGTGAGAAGGAAACAGGACCTAAAAATCTTTTGTGGATCCTCCTAGAAGAGGATCATATACACTGATATAAAATTGCCTCTTCATTGAGGACCTTGTCTCCAGAGCTCACAAGAAGCCCCACTTAAGTGCCCTTGTTCCTCTTGGTCTTGATAAAGCTGCTAAGCTTTATGTTCTCTTATAAGAAATTAATGCTAACAAAATACCAAATACCTTCTTCCTTCAACACACACACACACACACATGCCTTGAAAGCACCATTCTATAAAAATTCACATCCCTTCTCTTATCCATTGGCCATGACTGTTCTGTAGGGATTCTACCACCTCCCAGTGGAGAGCATTCACAACTTTGGCAGCAGCAGAAAGTCCTGGCCGGAGCACGGGAAGGAATTCTCTTTCTTGAGCAAGGGCCTGGACTAAAATGACTTTGCCTTATCAGATTCTAGAGCATATGTGATCCAAGATGGTTTTCACATCGGGCACCTAGCCAGCCTGTTTTGCATCTCTTAAGGGCTCTTCTCTCCTTGCAGTTGCAGGGACAAGTCAGCTACTGTCCTCAGTTCGATTCCCTGCTGGACCACATGACAGGACGAGAAACCTTAACCATGTATGCCCGGATATGGGGCATTCCTGAGCCCCAAATCGAGTTGTGTGTGAAAAATATGATACAGAAGCTGCTTCTGGACCCTCATGCAGACAAACTTGTCAAAAACTATAGGTGAGACATTAGGCTTTGGCAGCCTCTTCCCTTCTTATAACCATTAAACTCTAATAATGCAGTGTGCCTTTTTCTCAGACATAATTGAGTGAGCAGAGGAGCCTTCTCAATACCAGGTATGGGAGATGACCACACTGGCCATGCAAGACTGGCTTTAGACAGAAAAGAGGAGTGACCATTTGGTAGCCTGAGGAATAGGACAGCTGCAAGGAGCGTCTGATTATTTGACCTAGTTCGATTCTCATTCCATAAAGGATAGCCTGACTGGCTCCTGCTGGCCCTAATCCTGTGACTGTGCCCTGGGCTACAGAGGAGGGTTTGGCAGCATTGCCCATTCCCCAGCCAGGTAGGAGTGTCAGAGGAGCCCTCCTGATCTGCCGCTCCCTATTACGTCAGGCAATGACCATGACATAAGAGTGACTGATAGGTGACAGGAAACATAGAGGTGGGGGCCTCTGAGCCTTTCACAAGCACCCTGACTGCTCCGGGAGTACTCGTCTTACCCCCGGACTATGAATTACTTTTTGACTTTGACTCAGAAGAACATTTTGTTTACACTTTTAAATCGCAATTTGGATAGTGTCCTCTTCCCTCCTAGACATGTTCTTTCCCTCAAGGCCTAATAGTTGCCTTTAATTAATGGCATGTTGTTGTTGGTCATTTGTTTCAGTTGTATCCAACTCTCTGGGACTCCATTTGGAGTTTTCTTGCCAGAGATACTGAAGCAGTTTGCCATTTCCTTCTCCAGCTCATTTTACAGAGGAGGAAATTGAGTGTGACTTGCCCAGGACCTCACATCTAGTAAGTGTCTGAGGCCAGATTTGAGCTCAGGAAAATGAGTCTTCCTGACTCCAGGCCCAGCACTGTGCACTATGGCGCCACCTAGTGGTCCTCATTAATGGCATACATTGGCCCTGTCCTAAAGGGAGGCCGTGATCTGATATGAAAAATTGTTAACCAGTTTTGTGCATCTAAAAGGATATGAGCATCCTCGGAGTAGATTTGTGGCTCAGCCAAGGATCCTTTAATTCTCCTGTGTGTGAAGTTAGATCCCTGTTATGACGGAAAGCTAGATGTCACAGTGGGTAAGAGTGCTGAATTGGAAACCAGGAAGACCTGAATTTAACTCTCACCTCAGACACTTAACAAGCTGTGTGTGACCCTGGGCAAGTCACTTACCTTCTCTCAACCTTAGTTTCCTCTTCTGTAAAATGGTGATAATAATGGCATCTACTTCACAGGGTTGTTGTGAAGGTCAAATGAATTAACATGTGTCTGATGAGCTACATAAATACTAGTTGTTATTATTGTAATGATGATGATGTTGAGGCAAGATGATGTTGATGCCAGCTCATCACTAAAATGATGCACCACAAGCCATTCCTCAGTTGACAGAAATGGCCAAAAGATATGAACGAAAAGTTTTCAAGGAAAGAAATCTAAGGTATTTATAGCAATATGAAAAAAAAAGTTTGGAATCACTAATAATTAGAGAAATTCAAATTAAATAACCCTTACGCTACCCCTTATGCCCATCAGACTAGCAAATTGACAAAAAAAGAGAAGTGACATGCTGGAGAGATTATGAAAAACGAGCATATTGCTGCACTATTAGTGGAGTTGTGGAATTGGTCCAGCCAATCTGGAAAGCCATTTAGAATTGTGCCCCAAAGTTTCTAACCTGTGCATACCACCAATGGAACTCTATGCCAGAGAGCCCTAGAAAGGGGAAAAAGTCTTATGTGAACAAAAATGTCGAGAGCAGCTTTATTTGTCATACCAACAAGGGCAGGGGGGAGAGGGTGGTGTTTGCCCATCAACCGGAGAATGGCTAGACAAATGATGGTATATGAATGTAATGCAATACTATTGCGCTGTAAGAAACGATGAGAGAGACTTTTTCCGAGAAGCCTGGGAAAACTTGCCTGTGAACTGAGGAGGTGAGAAGAACCATTTATACTATAATTACAGAGCTATAAAAGCAACCCTGAAAGACTTAAGAACCCTTAACCATGCTATAACTAATCACAATTCCAGTGAATCCAGAGGTGATAAGGCATGCTATCTACCTCCTGACAAAGAGGTGATGGATTTGAGCTGCAGAATGAGACACACACTTATGGACACTACCAATACGGGAACTTGTTTCACTTGACTTTGCACATCTATTACAAAGGTTTTGGTTTTCTTTTTTCTTTTCCATTGGAGAAACAGAGGACAGAGGATGAAAAAACAAATGCTTGATTATTAAAAATACAATAAAACACAAGTATATCATGTAGCATATACTTCCAGTGGTAATTTCTCTGACCACCCAACCTCTTGTGACCAAACTACTTCTCTGATACTTTTGACCTCAACTTCATTCTTTGGCTCTGTGTCTCCACTCAACCCTATCCCCCACCCCTGTCAACTGAAACCTTATTTCTGGCTTTGGCATTTGCTACCTTTATTAGATTCACATTCCAACCACGTATTTCACCCTGTCCCTCTGCAGGTGGACATTTGTTGTTGTTGTTCAGTTGTTCAGTCATGAATGACTTTTCGTGACCTCATGGACCATACTGTCGACAAGGTTTTCTTGGCAAGGATACTAGGAGTGGTTTGCTATTTTCTTCTCCAGCTTGTTTTACAGATGAGGAAACTGAAGCAAACATGGGTCACACAGCTAGTAAGTGTCTGAGACCAGATTGGAACTCGGGTCTTCCTGACTCTAGGCCCAGCACTCTATCCACGGAGTCATTTAGCTGCTGGATATTGGACATATTTAGGCATTATTTCTTGTTCTCCCTGGTGTTCTGCCCTGGAGCCTTGGGAATACTATTATTTGTCCCTGTTCTCCCCCTTCTCCTCACACAGTGGTGGCAACAAGCGTAAGCTGAGCACTGGTATTGCCCTTATGGGAAATCCCTCAGTTGTCTTCCTGGATGAGCCATCCACCGGCATGGACCCTGTGGCTCGGCGCCTGCTCTGGAATGCCGTGACCGAGATCCGTCAGCTTGGCAAGGCCATCGTCATTACCTCCCACAGGTAGGGCCTGCATCCGGATCGGCACGGTAAAAAGGAATTCGAATGAGAGCGGGGATGGTCCTGTGGCCTTGTCTGTGGACTCTTGGGTGCTGGGGCTAGAGGGCAGGGGCGAGAAAGCTGCTGGCAGTTGAGCCCTCAGACTGGGGACCTTCGGGTTCCTGTGATGTTGGTCCTGACAACAAGCTGTATGGAATAATAAGGGGGGAACTCCCATTCTAAACCTGAGCGTCTCCTCTTCCCCTTTTATGCCAAGCATTTTTACGTTGCTAAGGTGGCCCTTCGCCCTAGGCCACATACCAGGCTTTCTCTCTACAGAAACGGGACCTGCAGATTTAGTCTCACCAGGTGCACAGCCCTTGCCCTCCAAAGCAAGGAGTCTTGAGTCATGCCTCCCTCCTCACTCTTGTTTCCCCAGCCTGGAGGAATGTGAAGCCCTGTGCACCAGGCTGGCCATCATGGTGAATGGACAGTTCAAGTGTCTGGGCAGCCCACAGCACCTCAAGAGCAAATATGGGAGTGGCTACACCCTACTGGCCAAAATTAAAGACTACACTAAAGAGGAAGAAAAGATGGCAATTGAGGCATTCAAAACATTTGTGGAAGAGACCTTTCCAGGTACTGGAGCTCATGCCCTAAATAGCCCAAATCTTTCTTATCTGTCCTCTGGCGGGCATGTTTTGCCAGTGAATTCCTGTAAAAATAAGGAAATAGGATTTTCACAGTTCCACTTCAGCAACAGTCACTTGCAGTGTTCTGCCTTCACCTTAGGACTTTAACCAAAGTCCTTGCTTAAGTAACTACAGCTTGACTCACTTCTTGCTTTTCTCAGCTTCTCAAGGAGTAAAAGTCCTTTCTGCTCATGGCAGAACTTAAGCAGAATGGCAGACAAAGATGAAGCTGTGAGGGGAAAGCATATACAGAAGTATTCTCCCCACCTTGAATGGTCCATTTCAAAAGTACGGATATTGAGTTGACTACAGCACTTATACTAGATTGAAAACCAATCCTGCCAGGAAATAGCCTTTCTCACTTCCTGTTCCCCAGAGAAATGTCTTTTTCCAGACTGTGCAGGAATTGAAGAATTGTGCCAATTCCTCTAATAATAGCTTATATGGCACTTTCAGATTTACAAAGTTTTTTACATATGTTACCTCATTTGGATCTCATAACTCTGAAAAGTAGGTCTTATTATCCCCTCTTTTACAATGAGGAAATTGAGGGGTCAAGTAGTAAGTATCTGGGGCTGAATTGCTGCTCAGGTCCTCTTGACTCCAAGTTTAACACTCTACTCACTGCTGCCTAGCTACCTGTAGATCTTGCAGGAAGCCACTAGTGCAGCCTTCCTCTGTCATACCCCTTTACATAAAGAAACAAGGCAAAGACTGCCCAGGATCAGAGAAAGAAAGAAGCCTGTGCAATTGGTGAGGGAAGAAACATGTGGGCCTCCAAACACAAACAGAAAAGAAGTGGGGTACTTCTGATAACCTAGGCAAATTCCTACCAAGAGAGAAGTCTGCTTTATTTTCCTGTTTCTTTTTCAATCTTTGTTTCAGGGGATGGGGGATGACTGGGTAGGGGATAAAGGAGGGATATTTTCAAAAAGGAAGATGATATAAAAACAAAAATATCAATAAAAATAAGATTTTTTTCCCTAAAAAAAAAAAAGAAAAAAGAAATGTCTCTTTCCCTTTGCCAGGCAGTATCCTGAAAGAGGAGCACCAGGGGATGGTCCATTACCACTTGCCCAAAGAGAATCTCAAATGGTCAAAGGTGAGTATGGGAAGCAGATTTCATTAAGCTATCATGATGCTACCTAATGGCACTTTCTACAAGGAGGAGCATGCAAGAGGCACTGAACCCTCCCAGGGGCCTCAGGATGTGGATATGGCACTCAGACATCTGGGAATATGATAAACTCAACTCTAAGGGGAGGACGAGTTCTCTGTGAAGAGTCTGTCCTTCCCTTTTTCTTGGGTAGTAATCTTTCCATCCTGTTACAGTTTCACCTCAGCAATTTGCCATGACAATGTTGAACAAAATTTCTTAGCCTTTAATTCTCTTAACATGACTTAATCTCCTTACATAGACAGTTGAACGCTGGGTTCAGCAGGTGTGTGGCCTAGAAGTGTTGCCCACCTGGAAGGTACTGAAAAAGGGACAGGGTCTCTTGGGGACGTATCACTCAACTTCCTTCTCAAAGAACACCGAGGTTTAATAACTCCATGGCAACATTTGGGTCCAATGATGGATTTAAAGAGTTTCATCAGCCTCTAACTTTTGCCTCCTAACACACATTTAGGAGCCACTCCATATACATCCCTAGAACAAGGATCTTAACTATGACTATGTCTACCATCCCACAGGTGTTTGGCATCTTGGAAGAAGTCAAAGACAGGTATAAATTGGATGACTATTCCGTAAGTCAAGTCTCACTGGAACAAGTCTTCTTGAGCTTTGCCCATTTATGACACTCAAAAGAAGATGCATCCTAGAGAGCAGTTCATTGAACTTTGAGCCCCTTACCATCTCCCTTTCCATCCCATTATATGTCACCAGTGTGTATAGATATACCAGTTGACTCTGTGTATGTGCATATCTTCATGTAAAAATGTAACAATGAACTTCCTCAAGGAGGGATTTTGCTTTCCATTTTGAGTACAGATGTACTTTGAGATAAACATTCAAGAAGTAGATGAGTATGAGGTCAGAAAAGAAGAAGTAGATTTCTCAGAGCCTGAGACCATTCAGTGTACTTCCTGTTACACTCAACAACTCCATGGGAATGCAGTGGCAGTGGGCTCCATAGAGTATACCACTTTGGCTATTAGTGTACACTGCAAGTCAGCCTCCCAGGCAGTCACTACTGGATGGAAACCACAGTACACAGAGTGAATGTAGGAGGGGAAAGAAACATAGGTGGAAGCCATGAGTGGACCAAGTCGTTTCTAAAAACTCATTGGGCAGTATGGTGGCCTGGTCAAATTTCAATTGTAAAATGTTATTCTAGCATTTAGTGGGCTCTGTCTGCCCATAAGACTTGAACGGTGTATCTTTACCCAAAGACTCTCTAGAAGTGTGAGATAAACCAAACACATCAAAGAGGAAGTTGGAGGGAAGCCTGTGGAACAAGAAAAATTAATTTAGAACAGGTGGTTGGTCTTAGCTGTGTTAGGATGCCAGCATAGGGAAGGAAGGTTGTCATCTTGGTCGGAATGATTACTACCTGGAGACTAGGGCAAGTCCATGTTGGAATATATAAACATCAGTACCCAGAAAAAGAGAAGTTATAGAAAGCCTGCTGGCTGGCTCATCGGGTTCTTAACCTAAGCACATACTTAGTATGCCTACTTAACAAGCCAGCATTATGTCAGTCACCCAAATCAAAAGTCAGAGGTGTCTATGGATGAGGTCTGAAAACAGCAAACCCCACCCCCACCCAATGCCTAACATCAGTAGTTCATGGAAGAGATGGAACATTCTCCTTCCAGCCTCACCCTGATGGACACAAGTTCAATAAAACGATGGTGAAGCCCATCTGAGACCAGTCGTCCCTTGGTTGGATATAGGTATTCTGCCCACTTGGAGAACAGACAACTAGGTCTGAATTTAGGTGTCTCACACTTGCCATGACAAATCGAGTAGCTTGGATTCAGGGTTTGTGACTACAAAACATGTTGTCTACAGAGGGGCCTTTTGAGATAATTGATCCTTCAGGCAACTGAGGATAGCTTGTTCTGCTTGGCCCTAGAGAACAACCCAAAGAATAATCAGTGGAATCACAGGGACAAATTTGGTAGTAAAGTCAGGAAAAACAAAGCTATCCAAAATTGAAATAAACTTATTCTTGGAAACTGCTCCGAGGAGGCCGCAGGCTCCTGGTTACTGGAGAGCTTCAATCAAAGGATAGCCAACTGCTTGTCAAGTTGTAGAACAAGAGATCTTCCCCATTTATATGTTCTGGACCCCTCTGGCAGTGTGGGGAAGCTTAGGCACCCCTTCTCAGAAGAATACTTCTACATGCACAAAATGCAATACATAAGACCAATCATATTGAAATAGTTATTTTAAAAAAACATTTTTTTAAGTTCCTGGATTTCAGGAACTCCTGTTGGGATGGGTATTCTTATTGAAGTATGGTTTGAATAGATGGTCTCTGATATGCCCTCTAACTATGAGAGTCAAATTGTGATTCTGTGCTATATGAGGTCTGAGAGAGAGTCATTACTGGCCAAAGGGATAAAGGCTTTATACAGAAGGTAGCATTTGAGTTGAGGAAAGAGGAGTAGGAATTCAACAGGCAAATATGGAGGGAGCAAAGGGGGAGGATAAGGGAGGACATTCTAGGCCTAGGAATTAGCATGAGGAAAGGCATGGAGGTGATGGAGCACATGATATGTTTGTGGGACAGAGCAGAAGAGTTTTTCTGGTCCATAATATAAAGTTGCAAAAAGTATGATATTGTGGTGCCAGATTAAGAAAGGCCTTGAATGGAAACCACATAGGGAACCACTGAAGACTTCTGAGCAGAAGTATGGCAAATCAGATCTGTGCCTTAGAAAATTTGTCAACAATAAAAAGGACGGATTAGAAATGGTAGAGTGCCAGAGTAGGAAGACTTGTTCAGAGACTTATGTTTGTCCTTCTTTTTCAAAGAGGACCAATGACATCATGGGGTGATGCAGAGCTGCACAAAGTTATCAGCCTCACTCTTCCAGAATCATTAGATCTAATGGCAAGACAAAAGTCAAGACGACTGGCAATGGCCCAGGATGCAGTAGATGACCTTGGTGTCTTTTATGTCAGACCAAGCTCTAAGGATTCCACAGCACCTGCTTCAGCCATCTTCATGGCTGTTGGAACAAATTGTTCTCATGTGCCCATTCTGCAGGAGAAGTCTTCACATGCTAACTCATTGATAGGTTTGAGACCTGTTGATTATCCTCAGTCTGGTTTAGCCTATCTGCCAAGATGGTTCACCACAGTATCGTCACGGTACATGCATGCTACAGCTTCTTGTAGCCACACTTGAGAGTTGAGTGAAAGAAGGACACAAAAGATGAAGGAGCAACCCTGAAAAAGGCTTGGCAAGCCCTCATAGCAGAGATATTAGTCTTCCCTCAATACCAGGTGGTACAGCAGATAGAGCCCCAGGCCTAGAGTCGGAAAGATCTGAGTTCAAAACTGGCCTCAGACACTTACTAGCTAGTGTGTGACCCTGGGCAAGTCACCTAGCCTTATTTGCCTCAATTTCCTCATTTATAAAATGAGCTGTAAAAGGAAATGGCAAACAACTCCAGTGTCTTTGCCAAGAAAACCCCAAATGGGGTTACAAAAAGTAGAACATGACTGCACAACAACAAATCTGCTGGAAATGTTTCAGTTCAGAAGACAATCACTTAAGGGGCAAACCACACGTATTCATAGGCTGAGTAGCTTTTGTTGTTATTGTTCAGGGACTATTGCAAAAGTCTAGGCAGGTAAGTATTAAGGCTATAATAGTGATAATAGAAAAGAGGACTGTGGGAGGTATTTCAGGAATAAAATGGAAAAGATTTGGTAACTTACTGAATAAGAGATATGAGAGAGAAGTCAAAGATAACCATTAGTTGGCAGATCTGGGTTATGGTGAATGATATCGTCATAAACAGAAATCATGAAGCCAGGAAGAGGGGAAGGTTTGGGGGAGGTTTTGTTCACCTCCTACATGATCATTCCTTACTAACTTCTTTGGATCATCATCCGTTTTCTGCTCACTGGGGGCATCCCCCAAAGCCCTCTTCTTTTACCCCCTACATTTTTCCTGGGTATTCTTATCAGCCTGCATGAATTCCCTTATCTTAGCTCTGTTTTCTGGGGCATGAGTCCAGATTGAAATGGGCGCCTGTCAATTATTTCAGCCACCAATATAATGACATAGCATCCTTGGGTATTTACTGTCTCTGGATCAGAACTAAATCTGTAAATTTTGCAGAAGCCTCCAAATCCACTATGACTGAGACTCTCTGACACTGAACTCATGGGTCAGAAATACATGGGCATGTTAAAAGACAGTAACAGCAATATTGTAAAGACAATCAACTTTGAAAGACTTAGGAATTCTGATCAACACAATGACTAAACACAATTCCAGAGGGCTCATGATAAAACACGCTACCCACCTCCTGATAAAAAAGTAAGGAACTCAGAGTACAGAACAATGTGAGAATTTGTTTTGCTTGACTATACATGTTTGAAAAAGAGATTTTGTTTTTCTCGTTTTCTTATGGAGGGGTGCAAGTATGGGAGACAGTGCAGATCTGAAAAAAAAATGATTAAAAAAAAATACATGAGGAGCAGCTAGGTGGCGCAGTGGATAGAGCACCAGCCCTGAAGTCAGGAGGACCTGAGTTCAAATCAGACCTCAGACCAAACACTTGACACTTACTAGCTGTGTGATCCTGGGCAAGTCACTTAACCCCAATTGCCTAAACCAAAAAACAAAACAAAACAAAACAAAAAAAAACCCCATGAGCATGTGGATAGGAAATCTAGAATAATTAAGCTAGGAATAAAAGGATAATGAGGGGTCTCACTGCCCCCAAGTGGCAGCCAGTTCAATCTATTGATGGCTCCCCACTTGAATAGAATTAATGTGCCTAGGTGACTTGAACCAGACGTGGTACCCTTTGAGTCATACCGTACTAACTTTCCATCTCTCCAATCATATGAGATTGATAGGTTCTACCACAATCATCATGGAGACTGAAGATGGAACTTGATGCACACACATTGCCAGATAAGTGTAAGCAAATTGGTAGTAATGTCCACCTAGATTAATTACCATCATGCCTACCCAGTCTTCTTTGCCTTTGCTAACTTCTCTGAATTTGATTTCTGGTTCTCCTAATTTATGGTACTGACCCAACCTCACCCTGCCTAGCCAAATTTTCAGTCTTGGCCCCTCTGGCCAGATCTGTCTTATTGTCAGGTCTGGTGCTAATGTTTCCAAGAGCCAGGCCATCTTGAGAGCTGATTTATACTATCGGGAATTTTCAGCTGATGTTTGAAAGAGGTTTTGTAGGGGGCAAAATACTGGGCCTATATTGTGAAGAAGACATTTATTTGTAAGACCCAGATGACAATTAATTATTATAAATGATCTTAAACTCTTTAGGATTAAGAAATATTATTCAAGTGCTAAAAACTACTTATGTCTTCAGACTATCTATAGACCCAGACCTCCATATGACAGCTGCATACCAAATTTTTCAGAGTTGTAGGCTACTTACCTATCAGTGTCCTAACTAGGTAGATCCCCTAGGACTTTGCTCCAGTGTGGGAAATTTAGAAGTTACATGCAATAAACATTAAGCACTTACTATGTACCAGGTACTGTGCTAAGCACTGGGAATGCAAAAAAAAAAAAAAAAAAGAGATAGTCCCTGCTGTTCACAATCTAATGGGAGAGACAACATGCAAATAACTATGTGTAAAAAAGCTTTATACAGGATAAATGGGAAATAACAAACAGATGGAATTACCTCTTTCTAAGAGGGACCAAAAATTAAGAGGGGTTGGGAAAGACTTTCTATAAAAAGTGACATTTTTGCCGGAACTTCAGAGAATCCAGGAAAGCCATGAGGAGAGAGAACATTCTAGGCATGGAAGATAGCCAATGAAAATGCCCAGAGTTGGGGAATGGAGTGTCTGGAGAGGAATCCCAGAGTACATGGTGCAAAGTACAAAGTATAAAAAGATGGGAGAGGTAGGAAGGGGTCTGTTTATGAAGGGCTTTAAATAAATACCAGAGGATTTTATTTTTGGTCCTGGGACTGTTATTGTGTAGAAGGATGACATGGTCAGACGTGTGCCTTTGAAGGATCACTTTGACAGCTTAGTGGAGGATAGACTGGAGTGGGGAGAACGTTAAGGCAGACCAACCAGCAGGCAACTGCTTAAGGGTGATGAGGGCCTGCAGAAGGGTGATGGCAGTGAGAGAGAGGAGGAGATAGGTATGAGAGATGCTACAAAGTGAAATCAACAGGCCTAGGCAACAGATTGAATTGGGGGGGAGGAGAAGTTGAGGATGACACTAGGTTGTGAGACAGACTGGGAGACTTTGACTGGTATCATTCTTGTCCCTGGGCCCTGTTCAGTAACCACAGCTCCAGGCCCTCTCCAGCCCAACAGCATTCATTACTTTTAGTAGCATAGAAATCGCATGGTGTCCCAGGTCATATTTCCTCTAAACAGCACTATACCCCAGGTGAATATCACCCAGAATTTGAGAATCAGAAGGGACCTCAATCGTCATCTAGTCCAACCCATACACAGAGGAATTTCTACTATAATATAACCAACAATGACCTTCTAGCTTCTGGCTTCCAAGGAAGAGTCCACTACCTCTCAAGGCAAGTGACTGCACTTTTGGAAAGCTCTAAGTATTAGGAAGCATTTCCTAACTCTGATGTAAAAACAAAAAGCACCAATAAAAAAATCTAATAAAATAAGCAAATATCCTATGAAGTGATGTTTTTGTTGCCCTTGGATGCATGATAAAAATCAATTCCACCAACTCCTTTAGCTGCCCCT